ATTGTTTGTTATTAGGAATCATCTAACCGATATATCTTGGAAACAAATTGGCTGAAACTACGTACTTTCCCTGTAAAATGCTCTAGCAGTAAGATATTTTGTGTGAATTGTTTGTTATTAGGAATCATCTAACCAATATATCTTGGACTTATAAAAACTTTATAAAAGTAAATTTATGGTTAAAATTTGAAATTGTGTATTGTATAGTTGTCGTCTTGCAAACGTTTTAATTAATCACGTATTTCCAAAACGATACTTTAAAATTAGCGTTTCATGGCTTTAATTAAAATGTAGCGATTTTCAATTTTTTTATACAAAGTTTTAAAAATCTGTGTTAAACTGTAAAAGATGATATAATCTTTACAGTTTTAGCAAAATTATTAATTAACTGAAGCAAGTTCAATACAAATTATCGGAATAACATTAATTAAGATATTAGGTTACTTTACATTACCTCCTCTTTGAGACAAGTTTCATGTACGCGTACAACATTCGTTTGGATCGTACATACATACGTGATCCATGTATTAATTCCATCTTCGTGTTACTTTTTTTGTTGTTGTTAAAAAAGCGACAACGCCAGATTTCTTGTAATTACGGTGATTTTAAACTGGGAAGAGTACTTTGGTCACCAGCTTTTGAGCAGAAAGAAAAACGCACCAATTAATCTCACAGGATCGGTGTGGCATAGTAGTTAGCATATATTGAAGGGACCAAGATTCGAGACAAGATAAAGTAAAACACGCTCCGGATTTTCAACTATGGACGCGTTATGAAGCTTATTATTCAGTTCAAAGATTCGGACAAAGTCCTCGTGGCAGCGAATGTTGCCTTCTTTCTGTCAATAGTTCGAAATGAAAGACAGTTATACCTAAACCCTAGGTGTCTATGACTTGGCCGTTTAACCCACGTGCGCTTAAGGTGCTCATACCTTTGTTTTGTGCGTGAAATATAACGTTTGATTTTTACCACTCATTTAAAGGGAAGACAAAGGGACCAAATACGGTCGCAGTCAGTGTTACTTTAAATGTCTTTGTTGTCATGGCTGGTGCTGCGTTTCTCAATATGTATGGTGCGCTTAAGGTGCTCATACCTTTGTTTTGTGCGTGAAATATAACGTTTGATTTTTACCACTCATTTAAAGGGAAGACAAAGGGACCAAATACGGTCGCAGTCAGTGTTACTTTAAATGTCTTTGTTGTCATGGCTGCTACTGCGTTTCTCAATATGTATGGTGTTAAATAAA